GAAATTCATATCTGCAGACGAATAATCGTTGAATATATGTCGTACATTTGTATCATCTTGTTTCAGTATTATTAAAAAGTTTGCGTTATCTCTTACAAGCTGTTTTGATATTTTAGAATATGTCTGTGCTAAATAAAATACGGAGCTGGCACTTGAATATCTACCAATGCTAAAGTATTCTCTGATTACAGATTGTGGGCCGCATATCACATCATCAAAAATTGTAATAGAATTTTTCTTCGTTAAGTTTGGTTTTATAACCTTATCAGCGCTTGTAAATATGAAAAAATTAGCACTTTTTATATGATCTATTATTTTTTTCAATAAAACATATTTTTCCTGATTAGAGGTTTTCGAGTATAAATAAATATTTTCATATCTTAACCCGTTTGCATGTGTGATCAGATTATACATTATATTTGTTTTTCCTGAGCCACTGGGACCAACTAGTATAGCACGTATAGTATCGGGTAATAACGAACCGTGTCTTGATGGTTTTTTTACTACCTGAACATCTACATTTATTACATCCAATTTATCTTTCTGTTCTATCAAATCCATATTATTTTCTTATAAATACTCTAGAATTTTCCAATTTATAGTCAGTTATAGATGGCGTGTTCAACTCGTAAGTACAATTCAAACAAGACTGGTAAAGGATTTGTAAACTCCCTTATAAATAGTTTCATGTTTCAGGATATCAGTATTGTGGTCCTGGCACGAAATTAAAAAAGAGACTAGATCATGGTGATAAAGGAATAAACCCATTGGATTCTGCTTGTCGTGATCACGATATTGTGTATGCAACGAGTAAGAATTTAGACGATAGACATAAAGCTGATTAAGTGTTAGAAAATCGTGCTTGGGAAAGATTTAAAGCAAAAGATACACCTAGAAAAGAGAAATTAGTTGCGTACGCAGTAACAAACGCAATGAAAGCTAAAACAAAAATAGGTATGGGTTGTAAACGGAAAAGTGCTATAAAAACAAATGGTATACTAGCAGCGAAGAAAATAAGAATCTCAAAGAAAAAGAATGGTGGTAAAAGACTGATTTTAGCACCGAGGCAGTCAGGAGGTGTAATTCCCTTAATACCTATATTTGCAGGATTGTCAGCACTTGGTAGTTTGATGTCTGGAGGTGCTAGTGTGTATAATGCGGTTCAAAATTCAAAAAGAAAAAAAGGTAGTGGTTTGAAATCAAACAAGAATAGGTTAAGAAAAAAAAACTGATGATCACGCTACCTGACATACCGCTTTCGTCTCAAGATATTATAAAATATGTTGGAAAGTTGAAAATCAATCATTTCCGTGGAGTCTTTTCACGTGATAGCTTACCTAAAAAACCGCACGCTATTGAATGTGGTATATTAAACTTGGAAATTTCAGGCGACGGAGGTCATTGGATAGCGTTTTATAAAAATAAGGACAAAGTTGTATACTTTGATAGCTTTGGTGATTTACCACCACCAATTGAATTACAACATTATTTCAGACAGTTCAAAATAGTATACCTACAACTATTCCAACTATCAAGACTTCAATACATTTAACTGTGGCCATTTATGTCTTGAATTTTTACAATGCATGAATCTATTACATTAAGTTTTACTGGAAATTCAACTTTATTGTCGGCAAATTATTTTCCATCTCTAAACGTTTAAGAGGATTCGGAAATAGCTTTGTTATCTTTGCAAACGTTCAATTCATTTCCAAAAATTATAAATCCAATTAATAACCGGTTGAAATTACAAACAATTCCTCCAAAGAAAAACAGAGAAGACTCTCGCAATTTTGAATTTTGTTTGGAAGACGGATGCTATGAAATAGAAGATATTAACAATTATATGGCAAAAGAGTTATCTCAAGTTAATAACGACCACGGAACACATCTAACATTCAGTATACGTATGGATCCTGTCGATTTTAGAATGTATATTAAATGTAATGGACTACTTCGATTTAATACTTCATAAAGTATAGCACCTGTTTTTGGGTTTAAAAAGAAAGATTGTGGTCCATTTCATGAAGAACGTCGATCGGAGAAAGCTGTAAATTTAAACACAATTAATTCTATAAAAGTAATGTGTTATATAGCACATGGGTCATTCAACAACCAACTTCAAAGTCATTCGATACACGAGTTTTTCCCGAGTAGGAAAACAGGAACAAAGGTTGTTCAATCTCCGGTAAACCTTATATATTACAGATAAAACAAAACAGATATTAATTCAATTACTGTTCAGTTAGTTGACCAAAACAATAATCCAATTGATAATTTTAACGAGACGTTAACAGTTGTTATACATATTAAACGTCACGGATCTCATCATTAAATTTATATCTTAGATTTTGTAATGTACGAGTCAGTTACTTTAAGTTTAACTGAGAATGATGCCATATTATCTGTAAATTATTTTCCACCTATAAACCTTTACGAGGACTCAGAAATAGCTTTGTTATGTTTACAGTCATTTAATTCATTCCCAAATATTAATGAAAATAATAATAAATTTTCTATACAAGTAGTTAAGAAGCAAATAGATGACTATAATAAGAAAAACTTAACCAATTTAACATTCGACATTACGGTTGATCCTAATGATTTCAGATCGTATATAAAATGTAATGGGATACTACACTTTGAGTATATCCATATAGTATAGCACTTGTATTCGGTTTTGAAAAAAGAGTATATAAGCCATACTATGAAATTCTTCGATCGGAAAAAGCTGTAAATTTAAACACAATTAATTCTATAAAAGTAATGTGCAATATAGCTCAAGGATCATTCAACAACCATCTTCAAAGTCATTCGATTTATGAGTTTTTCCCGAGTGAAAGGACAGGGTCGAAAGTAATTCAGTCACCGCCAAATTTAATATATTACAAATTGAATAAAACAAATATTGATTCGATAACAGTTCAATTAGTTGATCAAGATCATAATCCGATTGATAATTTTGGTGAGGCATTGACAATCGTGTTACATATTAAACGATACGGGTCTTGAGATGAGGCTGAAATTCAATATAAACCCGCTACTTCGGATCAGCACACTAGTCATAAGACTAAAGTGCTACCAGCAACATCAAATAAGATAAAAAAATTAACGGTAAAAAATAAAAAAATTTTACAAGCTCTGGGTTATCAATTAAAGCAGAATGCCTGAGAGTGATATTTTAGATATAACTTCACAGTACGAAACGGATTCTAAAATTACGAAAATTGAATATCATTCATACACACAGTATACTACATCATTTAATAATAATGATGAAATACGTATATCAATCCAGCAAACGGATGTCTACCCATATCTACACGAAAGCTTTATTTTATTGGAAGGAACAATTACTGATGCTTCCAAAGTGAAACTATCTAATAACGGTTACTCTTACCTCTTCGAACAAATACGATTGGAAATCAATGGGATAGAAGTAGATAGCACACGTGTTCTTGGAATCACTAGCTCGTTGAAAGGTTACTTATCCGGTACGCCAGATAACTACAATTGTTATGAAAATGCTGGGTGGAATTTTAAAAACGCAACGCAATCGGAAAATGACAAAGGTGAATTTAGTGCTTGCATTCCATTGAAATATTGGTTAGGATTGTTTGAAGGCTATAAAAGAATATTAGTGAATTCTAGATTGGAATTAATATTAACCCGAAGTCATAGTGATTTAAATGCTTTACAAGTTAAAAGTGGTGCAACTACTACTGAAGGTAAAGTCACCTTAAATAAAATAGTCTGGAAGGTCCCACATATAACGGTCGACGACGAAGAAAGGTTAAAATTATTGAAACTTATAGAAAAAGAAAAAAGTCTATTTATCCCTTTTAGATCTTTTGAAACTTTTGAATATCCTGAACTCGGAACCACTAAAAAAGTTGTATGGAATTTGAAAACTGCTTCAAAATTAGAAAAACCACGATTTATCATAATTGGATTACAAAAAGGAAGCAAAAATTTGCTAACAAAAGATTGTAGTATATTTGATCATTGTAATTTAACAAACGTTAAAGTATTTCTGAACTCTATAGCTTATCCGTACGATAATTTGAATTTAGATTTTACTAAAAATAATTTCACCTTATTATATAATATGTATACATCGTTTCAAGAATCGTACTATGAAAAAAGTATTCGTAACCCGATATTGAGTCCTTCTACTTTTCTGACAAACGCTCCAATTATAGTTATCGATACTTCGAAACAGAACGATTCAGCCACAGCCTCAGCAGTGGATGTTCAATTGGAAATTTGGAAATGGTGTCTCTTCATAGTTTCTTACATAGTCATTTCTATTAGGGTGTTCTATATCTAACTATTATATAAATTTGTTATCACTATCTGATATTTTTCGCATAATTCAACATGTTTTTGATCCTTACATATTGTTGTGATATTTTCATTGTCTCCCCTAATAAATTGTATTTTGTTTTATATTCCCTCAATGAAAAGTATGTAACAAGTATATATTCAGCTCCTATTATTCTATACTCTATTCAAAATAAGACCGTGACCCGGCTGCGACTAGTTTTCGTCCGGCGACGGTCTGACGGCTGGAACCCGATTGAGCACAGTTTACCTTTTTCATTACCCAATTGAACATAGATACAATTAAACAACAGAAATCCAAAATATAACACGACTGAGCATAGAAATAAGTACAATGTTGCCGTTCCACACATCAAAATAAAAATTTAAAAAAATTTAAATATTTACAGGAATTATTTTATAATAATCATCAAGCTATTAATTAGTGTATAAAAATATAAAATGAAATTATTTTACAAATATATACAATATACATAGTTTATGTCCAATACAGATTAGTCTTAAAGTTAATAATAAAATAATAATTACATAATATAATAAAAAATATTAAAGTTCATTTGTTTTATAAATATATAATATAATTCATATCCTATACAGATTTGTCTAAAAGTTAATTTATATATTTGATTTGAATATTTGTATTATGTGTCAACGTTTTAAAGTGGTATCCCTAAATACTTGTTTCCCACTTTTAATAAATATTTTAGTAAATCTTTAGAACATTTATTTCTTAAATATTCATCGTAAGCCATTATAGTTGCAATAATTTTTTGCATTTCAATAAAACTCATACTTTTATAACTGTCGGTTTCAATTGACCGAATTTTTGTCATCGTTTCAGCTTGCGTTTCTTGTAAAACCATAATTACCAAGTGTATGTGTGGGTGAGACTTATAAAATTGTGAATTGTAAGTTCTATGAAAACTTCCAACAGCGTTGGTTGTCCTAAAAAAAAACATTTCATAGAAATTAAATTAACATTTTTTTTATATTTAATATAATTAGATTTTGGATGATCTACCTTGGATCAAACATAGGTTCTTTAGCCCATATATTTGGGGGAAATGGAGATTCATCATCTATATAATTATTGAAAACATAATCGCTAAATTCTGAGCAGACTTTATCATTTGGGCAGACACTCATGAGTTCGACGAATGCATCGGCTACTTCATGATTAGGTAAAAAAGCTAACCCAAAAAAACTCTTAAGCCAATTTCCTAGTTCGTCGTTTTCTTTTTTATATGCTATTCTGAGAATAGAATCGCTGTTTATCTATAATAATAATTAAGAATACAATTAATGTATAATTCTTTGATTTGAAATTATTTTGAACTTACTTTTCGCCACCATGATTGTCCTAAATGAAATCGACAAGCTATTAATTGTACATTTTCAAAAACTTCATACGCGGCTTGGTGGGCTGCCTTTTCAAAGTCAACGTGTAATTTTTTTAATATGAACTGACTTCCTGTATATTCAACACATAAGTTTTGTAGGAATATCCACATTTTTTTATATGTATCTTTTGATTTTTTAAATAAAAAAAAATAAACCAACGGCAAAAAATAGCCATTTTTATATCCATGAATAGTATATAGTTCAAAATATTTGGGTGCGTAATTAAATGTACCATCGGCGAAAAAATCAATACAATCATGCTTAATCATAAATAGTAGGTTGAAATCAGAAGTAATGCATACAAAACTATTGTCTTCGGGAATATGTATGAATGGTTGTCTACGAAACTTAAAATCATCTTGAGTTTTCATTAAATTCAACTGTAAAAAAACGTCTTCCGGTGACTTAGGCAATTTGGGAAGTACTTTTCGTCGTCTATCGTACATAGCTTTACGAACCGTTTTTAAATCTTTATGAACAATTGAAGATTGTTTATTTAAAAGTTCACTTCTAATCAACTTTAAAGGTTGAGTTGATAGTGACTCTTCAGCACGTCTTTTACAATTTTCACGTAATACTTGCCTAAAGAATATACTTCTTTACTAAAGAAAATTCATATTGGAACTAAAAAAGGCAATTGAACAAGAAGTACATGACACGTATACATTAGGGTCGGAAAACACGCCGAGGTGTTTAGTAGGCCACAATAATACCGCGAATAATTACATTGAAGAACCGTTTAATACTCTTGAAATAACGAAAATTACGCAGATTATTACCCAAGTTATGTACGATTTATCATCAGATTCAGTGACGTCCACAAATACTTTATGTAAACTATTAATAGATTATATGAAATTTTTACACGACCCTAGAGATATATTAGATTATATAAAATGGTTTTAATTATATAAGATAACAATAATATAGTTAGTTTTAATAACATTTTGTAATTTTAGATTGGTGATGATGAGTGGTTGTCTAATCAAATCTGCCGAAATAAACGATTCAGAATATTATGTTATGAACGCACTTAGGTGTTCAGTCACAAATAAATATAGTCACAACACAAATTGAAAAGAACTAGATTAACTTTATTGGGTGTCATTAATAACGGCAGATGCTTCTAAATTAATATAATTAATATAAAATGTTCCGAATGTTATGTGAGGTTCTGACAATCATAAGGCTCTGCTTTTAAACCAAGACTGACTCGCTTGTGTTATACACAGCGAGTCGTTGCTCCGTCAGGGCCGAAAGGGTTTGCTCAGCACATTCCGTTTTGGCCGGAGGTGGTGTACAATATCACTAATACTAATAACATATATTCTACATATAAAGTAACCAGTGGTTCTTAGCATTCACAACACCCCTACCCCTAAATGGAACATAGGGGCTATTTAGTCCCCATGTTTCACAAAAATAGAAAATCATACTATAAAATAATAATAATTTTTAAAAATTAATACAAAAAAAAAACAATTAAATATATATATACTAAGTATTAATAATAAAATAAAATAAAATACTATAATAGTTATTCTATTGTTAATTATTTTGTTGAAGCTCAGTCTCAGGGAGATCTGGCTCATACAATTTTACATTTTCCTTTTTGATTTTAAACAGAATAAAAATGCTTATCATAATGCAAAATATTATAAATATATAGATTAAAATTTTGTGTACATCTAAAGCTTTAATAAATGGAGGTTCTGTTGGATTTTTGTTAAGATTTCCTAAATCTTGGAGGTTCTGAGAAAACTTGATTAAATCTTTTACTATTTGTACATTACTAAAGTTTTGGGGTACAATCAAATTCAACAAATCATCGAATGACTGTTTATATTAAGTTTAGGATTTTCTGGGATTATATCTAAATGTATTTTTGATTTTACATGATTTGAAGGTAATAATAAAGATCTTTCCGTATGAAGTTTACATGTCATTGAAATAGTCATCCTGCCTATCCCATAGATTTTAAAAGAAAATGCTCTGTTTGGATTTACACAATCAATCGTTATCATTTCCAATGGAGTGTAAAATAACCACGTATTTGAATATGATAGATGATTCCAAATCACTAAATTTGAGGTAACAAATTTAATTTTACAATTATTTGGAAAGTTCTGTGGGTTAAATAGCAGTGATATTTCACATAAATTAGTACTTACTCCATGGTAGATAGGTTGGTTATTTTTACATAATGTGTAAGTTTTTAATTGTTTACACGTTTCCCACTGTCTGTTTGTCATACCGAAAAAATTTTCTTTATCCTGACTAATTGCTAATATTTCAATTTCAGGTTCGATTAAGACTAGACTTTTACTATCGTATTCTATTGGTAAAGGTATTATATTGTAAACGGAAAAGTCATTACTATGTACTAAAGGGATTTTTGTGACAAATACCAAATATTTGTCTCTGTGGAAAATTGCCACTTCAGATAATTTAATAAATTCTGAAATAGTTTCTTGTGTTATTTCTAATGGTAGGGCGGTTCCTAATGGTAGGTTTATTTTTATTTCTTGTAGCTCTGTTAACCATTTCCGAGCTGATAAGATGGTAGTATGTAACTTGTAAAGGGTAGGTTTTTTTGAGCCTATTCCTATACAAATATTTATTAAATCACAATGCATGGATTTTGGTAATCATGTTAATCTTTATTGAACACAAATATATTAATTATATAATACAAAAAGATGATAATTAGTAATATAAACTGAATATTCATTTAATTATGACGTATACGTTTTCGTACGTATACGTTAAGAATATAATATAATTCGCGATTTTACATATGATATTCCCATTCACATTTATAAATTCTTATGTACTCACGGCTCTGTAGTTTTAAGTAGTAACTATGTATATCAATAATATTAGTACTTAGTATGGCGTGAGTAGGTATCACCACGTCGTAGCAATTCGGGCGGCAATACACAGATACGGGCAATATCCGGTGTCGTGGTCGCAGTACAGTGATAATCACAGCAGCGGCGGTACAAATACGGCGGCGGTATAATTACGGCGGTGGTATAAATACGGCGGCGGTAGAATTACTTACGGCGGCGGTAGAGTGATCGGTACGTTCTAACCTACCCACGGAGGGTGGCCGAGAGCGTGGTGCGCGGAAAGGAAACAAAAAAGACGAATAGACGACGGCGGCGGCAGTTACTCTGCGCGCTCTGACCCGTATTTGCGCGGCGAATAGCCCTAGCAGTCTAGGCCGAATATCTCCTTTGGTTCTAGCCTTCCAAAAAGGTGGCCGAGGACCGTGGTGATATTAGCCAGTCACTGCTGGAGCTACACAAGACAATTTGTAGTGTCGGCCAGGCTTCCTTATATGTAGTTTGCCGGTCGACAGCGCGTGCAGAACCGATATGTTTTTGCATGGCCGCCTAGGTGTTTGGTATTGGTGCGCAGTCTTCCCTTGGGGAAGTGCGCACTCTATTGACACTGATGAGCGGCTGTTGTATGATGTCGTGTTTCAGTTAGATAGCGCGTCATGTATATATTTCGTGTTCGTTACAAACTTCCCATTTAAAGCTGTGTTTACAATTTCGATTAGGTTCTGTGTTTCATATGCGTATTGGTTTAACATAACTTCGAATAGTACTGTTTGTTCTAATAACGTAGTTCTTACCACGAATTTTTCAATCTTTTGTGTGTTTCTTTTGACTTGTTCGCTCAAGACTTGATTGTTCTCTTTGAATCTGATTCTTTGGTTTGTTAATACTCTTGACAATGCACTGTTGTTTTCCGTAAGCTTCGTTTGAATCATCCGTATTTGTTCTGGTACCAATTTCAAATTGTTTTTATTGGTTTGTGTTAATTGTTTTATCTTACTAAATATAAATTCCATGTCGATGTTCTCAATATTTCCATAAAGTACACTGACCAGACGACTTATAGCATTCCTGAGTCCACGACGGAATCTATCGTTAGTATTCACGCTCTGTCCTATTGTGGATAAAATATTTTGATGATTTATCTCAATCTCGTATAAATACGGTAGAGTAGCTTGTGAAAACAATTGACAAATATATATACTATCGTTGCTTTCAAGTTTTTGTCGTATTTCCCCACAAAGTTGAGAAGTACTGTGATAAAGCTCTGACAACGTTATATACTTTGAATAATTATCTAGGTCAAGGGAGTTAATCAATTTCCACTCTGAATTTGATGTCTTCATAGTCCCTACATATTGATAATATAGACCTTCATGGCTGTCGAAATTAGTAATATTAACTGCCTCTTCTAATGGAAATTTCTGTGGTTCTCCTACCATCACTTGCAGAATAGTCATCATTACTATCACTTGTGCACTGACCATTGTAAGTTTCCGAAAAGTATGAAAGGTAATTAATTGTTACTCATGAAATATTTTCAAAAGATTCTGATGAATTGTGTGCCTCCAACCTTTCTTGTTAATTATGTTTTTCCGTTCCGGATGAACGTCTAGGACTTCAAATGGTCCTAGCCATTTGGGAGCTAATTTACCCTTTGAAGTTTTATCTTGTAATACAATTTTGTTTCCGACTACTATGTTCTGGCTTCTCAAGGTCTTGTCATACCTCTCCTTGGACTTATGTTTTGCTTCTAAAAGGTGTTTTCTAGCGATTTACTGTGACTCCTGCATTTGTTTCTTTGTTTCGTAGTTATAATCGTCGTAATTATATCTAGGTTCTGGGGTACTCAACAATGACGTTGGCACTACCAACGGGTGTCCATAGACCAGTTGATATGGTTGGAACTTTGTCACCGAGTGAATTGTCGAATTATGGCAAAACATTGCGTAGGGTACTTTGGTGTCCCAGTTCAGCTGGTCCTTCTCTACGAAGTTTCTCAAGTATTCACCCAAAGTTCTGTGGCTTCTTTCAAGACTTCCATTGCTTTCGGGGTGGTACGGTGTTGTTGAGGTTTGGCGTATTTTCAACAGTCGACACACTTTTTTAAATATTTTGCTTAGGAATTCTGTAATAACCTTTAAAATTGTAATTGTGTAACTTGTCCAAACTTTCGTCGAAATTGTAATGCAAGGCCTCTCGACATGTTTAAGTCACCTGAGACACAATTAACTAAAGAAATATCTGATCAAGTATCAAAAATATCACCATTTACTTCTGTAACATTAGCCGTTGGTGAATGTTCGGCTGCTAAAAATTGTTGGTATGGTTCCAAAATACCCGAAGCTGTTGAAGCTGTAGTACTGGATTTTGAAAATTTTGATTATCCGGATTTTCTGTGATATTTGTTGTATCCAAATTTTCTGTGATGCCAGGAGTTTCTGATTTTTTCGATGCGCTTTTAGATATAGTTACTACAGGATGAATTCTACTTAAAGCATCTGAATTTGTATTACTGGTGCCTTGCTTGAATTGGATTTCATATTCGTATTCCTCAAGTTTTAATCTCCACCTTGTTAGTCTGGATCCTGGGTCTTTTATGTTAAATAGCCATGTCAATGCTCGATGGCCTGTGATTATCGTAAATTTCTGTCCTAATAAGTATGGTCTGAATTGCTTTACACCCCAAACTATTGCACATAGCTCTTTTTCTGTAGTGTTATAATTTTGTTCAGCCTTATTTAGATTCCGTGATGCATAAGCTATGGAAGCATTTTGCCCGATTGGATCTTGTGACAGGACACAACCTATAGCGAAATTGCTGGCATCGCACGTTAAATTGAAAGCTTTAGTGAAATCAGGGTACTGTAGTAAGGGTTCCTGAGTCACCGTAGATTTTAACTTTTCGAAAGCTTCTTGGCACAAATCAGACCAGCTAAATTGCGCATCTTTCTTAAGTAAAACTGTAAGAGGCTTCGAAGTTTGTCCATAATTAGGTATAAAACGTCGATAGTAACCGGATAATCCAAGAAAGGACTTGAGTTCCTTAGTATTGGTTGGTAACGGAAAATCCAAAACACATTTAATTTTTTGCGGATCGGGCCGACGCCCTTATCCGTTATTACGTGTCCTAGGTAATTAACCTCTTTTCGCATAAATGAGCATTTCGAAGGGTTCAATTTTAAATTAAATTCCCTTAGTCTCTTGAAAACTTCTTCTAATTTTTTAGAATGGTCTGTAATGTTCAGTGCGTATATTATTATATCGTCTAAATAAACGAATGCTTTCAGTCCATTGAGTCCTGTTAGTACAGTGTTCATTAACCGTTGAAAGGTAGCCGGAGCCCCCTTTAAACCAAATGGTACCCGCAAGAATTCAAAATTTCCCTTATCTGTTGAAAAAGCGGTTTTACTTTGATGGTCAGGGTGCATCGGGACCTGGTGATACCCTTGGGATAAATCTATACACATTATTGTCTTAGCAATTGTCTGCGCAGGCACTAAAACAAATTCTCCATCTTTTCGATCGGTTATAGGAATACTCACTAGAGTTTCAGTCCGTGGTCGTAATACGATGTTTCCATTCATCCGATTATCTGTTATGTCTTGTAGCTCTAATGATCCATCGTCTTTTGCGGTTTTTGGAGATTCTGCCTGTTCTGAATTATTTAAACTTTCTGTAGTTCCAACACTAGCTGTAATGTCTGTTAGCATCAATTCTTTACTTTGGTAGTTTATAACTGTTTTCATCCCGATGATAAAAGGTTTTCCCAGGATACCCTCATGAGGAACTGGGAATGAAGAATGGACCACCTGGAATAATGCCTTTCGTTTTTCTTGTCTAATCATTAGGGTTAACTCCACTGTCCCTAGTGGTTGTAGTACATGTCCTGTTATTCCCGTTAAAATGTGTTCTGTAGGTTCATGAACCATAACATCATTTTTTAAGGAGGATAATTTGATGAAGTTTAAATCGGATACGGAGTCCACTAATAACTGAATGTTCTGGTTCATTGTCTCTGAACATTGACAGGACAAATGATCATATTTAAGGTTTTGGTAGTTAGATTGTAGCACGTTCAGGACGATTGGGAAAACGTAATCGCGGCTGTCTTTAGGCTCCCAGCCGGACGGCTGCCGCTGGAGCCCGGTTGTGGTTGGTTTCCCGACTTATTTTCTTCATTACGTTTGCCAGTTACATATTTTAATTTCCGACCTTCTTCTTTGGTGTGTCCTGGCTTTTTACAGTATTGGCAATTAACTACGTTAATAGTATTCTGTTTATTTTTTGATACTGTAGTTTCCGATTGGCGATTGGTAACTTGAATTCCCTGCGTTTTTGTATCTGCAATCTCGTGCCCAATGTCCAAGTTTATTGCATACATGACACGGCCCGTTCGGTTTTTTGGCTGAAGTTTAAGATTCTGCTCCCCGTTTCGTTGGTTGATATAGTTTTTTGGTTTCCACTGAAGAGGTTTTAATTTTTTCTTCCTCCCTGGCAGCTTGGATAGCCATTTCTAGTGTATGCAGATTTCTTGCTTTAATAAAATCCTTCAAAATTCCCAAGCCTTCCATAAAGACTTGCTTTGTTTGACGTTTGATGGACGCTTCCATGGCCCGTACAGCCTCAGCCGTTAGTTCCGCTGTCTCCTGTTCAATTAGGAGCGTTTGAAGTTCCTCTATTCTCATCGAATAGGATAATATATCCTCATCCTTCTTCTGTTTGGACGAATATAATTCAAGGTTTAAAATGCTGTGTAGTACGTTGAGGTTCTAGGTTAGCCTTCAGAAATTCTCGTAATGCTTCCCACGTATAAAATGTTCGGTTCCTAGATACTTGACGAGCTTTACCAGTTAGTCTTGTCATTACTCATTATCGCCTGTAGTAGACGATTCTTGGAAGGCTCTTGCACGCATAATACTGCAAATTCACAATTTTCTAGGAAAATATCTAATTGTTCGATGTCCCTTCCATCGCATGATTTTGGCAATAAGTTAAGAGCTTCCTTTAATCCAATGTAATTAGACATTGACGGTTCTGGCTGTGGCGTTCCGGTGTATCCCTTCTTCCCTAAGGCTGCTATTATCTTAGCATCAATTATTTCACGTATTGATTCCACACTTGTTTTTTCTTGATCCGCGTTTTCCGCCTTCAACGAGTAGTTTTGGCACAATTCCTTCATTCGTTGGTTAATCAACGCATCCAAATCGAATTCCTTCAAATGTTCTGTGTGAACTGAATTTTCCTTTTTTTGATTCCATTGAACCGTTATTCGTTCCATCATTTAATATTTGTCCCATACTTTGCTTATTCATCCCTTCGGTTCCAGGGAAAATATGATGCGAATTACTGTCTGCTGACCAGTCCACTTGCTGAACTGGTTCCTTAGTCTTTGGTTGTTGTGTGTTGCTGGGCTGGTTGGAGCTGCCTGAAGGTCCTGAGTTTCCATCCATGTTTGTGAGGGTCTTGTTATTAAATTCAATTATACTTTTATCTACTTTTTTCAGTTCTTTCTTTACGTTTAACTATAAATCTTCTGTATTTAAGTTTAAATCTGATTCTCGGATTAATAAATGGTCAACTGAAATTTCTGCTACCTTTCTACCTGTAAAAGGGTCTCCTGGGTTAGCTCCCCTAATCGGTAGGCTAGCCCGGGTGGTTGGTACAGGTGTAAAAGATAAAAGGGTTTGTGTGTCTGGGGGAAAATTATTATCTGTGGGAATTGTCTGGTCTAAATCTTTAGATGACCTATCTTCGCTCCCCCTTCGACTCATAAACTTAATGCCCCTTAGGTAATAGTAATTATGTCACAATGTAATTTAATTATACAGTAATATTATTCTTATTCTTATTGAGTAGAATAAAAAAAAAAATATTCGTTGACAAATAAAGCGGAAGTTGGGCAGTTACAATTCAGCAGAGCACTAACTTTTTATTGCTAACAAAAAAAAGGTGGGTAAGTGGATGTCGCTCTGCTGTACAGTAGGTTACAAGTGGGTCACTGTATAATGGATGGTATTAAATTTGAATTCAATGATATAATATCATTGTATAAGAAAAACGATTCTGAGCGGTGACGGTATGTCAGTCTATGTATAAGACATATTATATACATATCTATGGTATTAAACAAAAAATTGACCTATAATAAATTCCAAATTAATCATATCACGATATCCATTAGATACTTATAACGCGTTATACATCAACAAAAACCGTGATACTATCATAGATATATAATAGTACACTTTAGAAGTTTCAAGTACCCACGAATAATATTATTCAATCACAACAAAATAACTAAAATCGTAATTCTTGGTTTAAATATGAAATTCTGTCTAAATTTGAAATTAAAATGTCTGTAAAAAATAAGTGTGTTTATATATTTTTTAGATTTTTTGGTTACAGTATGAATTATTTAAGAGAATCTTTGTTTTAAATTTTCAACTCTTAGTTATAGAAACTGAACATTTTATAATTTTTTAATTCCAACGATTGATAATTTTTGAGATTTTGATAAATTTTGTCAAAATTCCAACTTTAAATGCTTATAAAAAAAAATCGTGCCTATGTATTTTTAATATTTTTCAACTGATATTGTAACAATATATCAGGAGCCTTGTATTAAATTTTTACACTTTTTGGCCCAACAGATAAAACTTTATTGATATTTATAGAAAAAAAAACTAAAAAAAATTGAAAGCTGTAAATGTCCATAAACAGCTCAAAAAGAGTCAAAATATTTTCAAAATTGTATGGTGTATAGGATATGCTAATATAAACATTCAGTGAAATTTTCATGTATCTACAGTTATTCGTTTTGAATTACAACAAAATAAGGAAATCGCTATATGAGAAATCGAGTGAAAATCCAATGTTGTAAAAATTTGAATTTCAACGCTCATAAAAATTTAATTTGACTGTCCGGTAGAGATTTTTTTATTGATAAAGGTAGATAATCTTATAAGGAATCTTGTGTTTCATTTTCAAATCTTAGATTTAAAAACAAAAATTTTTACGAATTCTTAACTCAAAATAATTTGCTAATTTTCGTGATTTTTCCATATTTTGTCAATTTTTGAACTTTAAATGCTTATAAAAAAAAATTGTGACTAAGGATTTTTAATATTTTTCATCTGCCTTTGAAACAATATATTAGGAGCCTTCTATTAAATTTTCAAGCTTTCGCAACCAACAAATAAAATTTTATTGATATTTTTAGAAAAAAAAAAAAAAAAAATGGAAGATGAAAATGTCCCTAAACAGTTCAAAATAAATCAAAATATTTTGAAAATGTTATCGTGTATAGAAAATGCAATTGTAAACAATCAGTGAAAATTTCATGTATAAATACGTTCATTTGTTTTAGAGTTACACCAATAACCAAAATCGATTTTTTGGAAAACCAATTTTGCGTAAAAATTCCCGTTTTTCCTTAATTTTTATGTTGTTTTTCCCGGCGCTTGTGAAAACTACTGGGAATTTTAAATTTTGACCTCCCCAATGCACCAACGATATTCACTTTCCAATCGAACAAGATACTGAAGTCGAAAATTGAAGCATTATTTCGACTACTTATCGTGTACACAGACACAAAAAAAAAAAAAAAATAAACACACATCATTGTAAAACCAATACATTCATCGCTCCGCTCAGAATCTAAAAAATACAATCGCGTACAAAAATTATTACTCACGGCGCGCGGCGGTCAAACGAATGCCGTGGCTGTAGTTGTCCCCGTGACAGTTGCTGTCCAGGCGTAATGTAACTCGTACCCGTGTGACCTTCGCTGCGGCTCGTGGCTCGTGGCTCGGGCGGCTCGTGACGGCTCGTGACGTCAGCGGCGGCTCTCGGCGACAGTCCCAGTGGCAACGCTGGAGGTGGTACTGGTAACAATTCCGGCGGCGGCCTGCGTAGCGACGTCAGCGATAATTCTCTGGATTCTATCGGTGACACCGACGACTGTTGTGGCACTGCTATGTATGTGCCCCTTCTATGAATTTTGTCGATGTCGACCCGATTGTCGTCGTATACGTCGTACTACAAACGAGTATAATATTATAATAACAATAATAAAATTTACTATACCTCCTAAAAAAAATAGATCGGCGAGTTTCTGTAAATGCTGCGTATGATTTGAGTCCGGTTGATAAATGCACTTGTTCTTTGACACTGAAGTTTTGATTTTCTTTCTTCCGATTTATGAAATGACGTAGTAGCGAGATACTGGAAGACGTATCCACCGCTGCCACCAAAAATGTTATGAACGCACTTAGGTGTTCAGTCACAAATAAATAAAGTCACAACACAAATTGAAAAGAACTAGATTAACTTTATTGGGTGTCATTAATAACGGCAGATGCTTCTAAATTAATATAATTAATATAAAATGTTCCGAATGTTCTGACAATCATAAGGCTCTGCTTTTAAACCAAGACTGACTCGCTTGTGTTATACACAGCGAGTCGTTGCTCCGTCCGGGCCGAAAGGGTTTGCTCAGCACATTCCGTTTTGGCCGGAGGTGGTGTACAATATCACTAATACTAATAACATATATTCTACATATAAAGTAACCAGTGGTTCTTAGCATTCACAACAATTATACATACAAGTCTCATACAGGAAAGGGGATACATGGTGAAAATTTAGGACCTACTAGAATAATATTAGCTGAATATATTCTTGTTACATACTTTTCATTGAGGGAATATAAAACAAAATACAATTTATTAGGGGAGAAAATGAAAATATCACAACAATATGTAAGGATCAAAAACATGTTGAATTATGCGAAAAATATCAGATAGTGATAACAAATTTATATAAAAGTTAGGTATAGAACACCTAATAGAAATGACTATGTAAGAAACTATGAAGAGACACCATTTACTCCACCACCTTCACCAAGATAAATAAAAAAAAATAAATATAATAATAAAAAAAAATATATATATATAAAATAATAATAATAATAATTAAATTAGAAAATAAATAATTAAATGAATGAATTGATGAATTAAAATAATATAAGTAATATAATATTCTATAAATAGTCACAAATGTAATAATTATACAACAAATAACTTTTAACTATTTCAAAAATTAAGAACAAGAAACAAAATATTTAAAACATACACGTAGAAATAAAATATAAAAAAAATGAATGAAAACGTACCACCTCTACCTCGCTCAGTTCAACTGACACTGCAAACATTGGACTTCTTTCGGGAACTTAAAACAGAATTAATAACAGCACACCACACCCAAATTATTCATGGGGAAACAGTCACTTCACACTGTTTCAGAAGGCACATAAGAAGGGCAAATGAAAATATGACAGACCACCGCCACCTCCACTACTCCCCGCTCAGCCCGCCAAGCCGAGGAGATCTGATGACAATTCAAGAATTAGAGTGTGCCATTTTCGAAACCATATCAAGAAAAATCGATATCGTGAGACCTATTATTTTAAATCAAATCGAACAAATTTCAGAATACTTTAAAACAAATTTTAATATTGATAAATCTGCCACACTGGAAGAAGTAAAAACAATAATCAAAGGAATTGATACCGAGTTAATCGCAATGCATGTACCGAAGAACAAATATAGTTTTATAAACCAGATTAAATTATACGCAACTGAACAGCTAGCAATCAAGTGGATGACGAAGAATTTGCTAAAAGTAAGAATATATATATTATATATTATTCAAAAAAATTATTTAACATATGCATTCAATTAGGATATGGACGAAAATGATGATGAATTGATAACATTTCTGCCGCCTACCCAGAGGATGCCTGAGGTTAACGAATTAAAGGTATTAATATATAAATTACGATTACTTATTTCAATTTATTTTAGTATTATACTGAGGCCTTTGACGTGGAAATGATGCAGCCATCCCCACCAAGATACTCAAGTATGTCTCCATTGATGACATATAACGAAGACGATTTTTCACAGTCACGGGTAATTGAAAATTGAAATAATAATAATAATAAAAAATGTTAGTATTAAATTTTATTTTATTTAGGCAGCTAATGAGGAGAGGAGGTTCCAGGAAATAACACATTCTATGAATCCTGCTAAACTTCGGAAAACTAAACCAAAGGTAATATACATAAATATACAAATGATAATATGATGAATAATCATTAATTTTTATAGGCTGTTGATGAGAACGACGGTCCGACATATTTTAACAGACGCCCATGATCCCCACCATCTCTATTCGACTGCAAGTCAGGAAAACCATCTTATCAGTGTATTACAAAATTATTTTATTAATAAATATTCTATATATCATAACATGGGTTATTTCCTTATACATATCCCCACCATCATGAGCGGTACCACTCATGTATGATCTAAATTCACTTTTACTCCCACTCCCGAGTATAGAGTAGGGATAATCCCCACTCTAAACGAGCGATCGGGTAGCACTGTTT